TTTGCTTTCAGATAAGAGCTGCAGGCTCCCTGACAGGTGCATTTGGTAGCATCCGCGGAACTAGACCTCCGCTTGCTGGCGCGGCCCCGACTCCTGGGACACAGGCTGCTCGCGAGGCGGAGCGGAGGGCATCCCCCGAGAGGAGACAGCACCCGGGGTGCGGCCCAGGGCCTGGCAGGGAGACTGTAACCGTAGGGTGAGTTTAAAAAAAAAAAAGTTTCTTCACGGTTGAGAGCTGCTTTTTAAAAGACCCCTTCCTGTTCGCTGTTGACAAGCGGCCAGATGACAATAACAAACAGTGGCGCAACTGTCGCGTCTGAGAGGAACCTTAGTGTCTCCCTTATGAAAACCCACTGGCAATGTACCTTGTGGGAACAGTAGTAGTAGTGTGATCACAGAATCACTAAAATAGGCGACAACTTATTATTTTAAAGAATCGTCTTAAAGGCAGTTTGAGCCCTAAAAGGTCCTACTCTTAAAAAAGCGGGAAGTATGACAGTCTCAGGTTTACCCAGCATCCTTTTCCAGGTAAAAGTTATTCTCTTAGGAAGTGCTTACTGCTTTCTGTTCCCTAGTTTACTTGTTTACGCCACAAAATTCCTCTAACTTTCCTGAAAATCTAGACTCTTAGATAAGAATGCAACTGATTAACTCACTCCTTTTTCTTTTTTTTCTAGAATTCAGCTACCTACACCAAGCAATATGAAGATCTTCTTTGTAGAACCTGCCATTTGCCTCAGTGCATTTGCAATGACTTTGACCTCTCCCCTGACAACACAATATGTGTACAGGAGAATATGGGAAGAAACGGGCAACTACAGTATGGAAGCCGAGAGCAACATTTCTGAGTGTGAAAAAAACAAGAGCAGCCCAATTTTTGTATTCCAGGAGGTAAGAAATTAAAATATCCCTAAGAGGTGATAAAAACGGAATGTGTAATGGGGTTTTAAATGAAAGAGGGCATGGCATTCACCATACATGGACCTCTGAAGGGTAACGGTAAAACTCTTAACTCCTAAACCAAGAGCCTTTCTTCAGTTCTCTTCATGTTTGAAGTTTCCTGACACCTTTGATCTGCCTCTGCCACTTAGAAGGCCAGTGCCAATGAGTGTTCTGTGGACAAAGGTGGGGTAAAACATGGCATTTCTGCCTTTCCCTTGCTTTCTTCCTCCCAACCCCTTCCACAGCATGTACATGACCCATCACTGAAGACTGGAGGGCCAGTCTCTGTCATGGGGTGGAAGGTGGCACAGCACTGGTCATTCACCATTTGGTGTTATCCAGTCAGCTTGGACTCCCACATGTGAGGACATCCTGGGTGGAGAGCACTCACTTTTGCTCTGT